AAAAATTTTTTAAAAATTTAAAAAGGAGAGGAAAGGAGCTAAAATGTTCCAGGCAAGTGAAAGCAACAGAGGCACACATGTACACACATGCGTGCACACTCAAACACACATGCACAGTGTTTCCTTTAGGGCATGTTTCAGAACTGTACTGTATTCTGTGCCTTGCAAGTAAGTTATCAGGGACAGAGGGTAGGTAGGAGTTGAAACCTCTGCCAAGGAAGAGGCAGGAGAAGCAGTAGTTGTTCATAGTGAGCAGGAGGGCTTGACATAGAAAAAATAAGCAGTATAATATTATCTATTAATACTATTTTTTGTCAAAGAAGCCTCTGAATTCTAAGCAGATCTGTGCAGGCCCAAATCTCAGGATCTAGGCTATGAGAATGTTTAATTTGAAGACCCTGAGAGTCCAAGGTAAACATGAATGACCTTTAATCTCTCCCTCCTGCCCCAGTAGGTGCTCCAAATTAAAAAATAATTCTAATAATAGTTTATGTGATTTTGGGTTCTATACAATCTTTCTTAAAGTATTTATTTTCCTGGTCTGTGCCACTCTAACAACTAATTGTAATGTTTTAGAAAAATGCACACAGTCTTCAAAATCATAGGAACTACCATTAAGAATAGAGTGGAAAAGGACAGGAGACCATCTGGTTTCTTTTCCCAACTCTTAAGTAAATGCTTTCTTATGGTGTGTGAATTTTATCTATTTGTTATTTACACTTTTTAAAGGACAAATAAGCTTTTGTTTCTACCATCAGGGCTGGGATGATACATCTAGATCACCTGTGACTCTAACTGCCCTTTCCATGGGAGTGGGTTAAGGTCACTTAACGTATTGATGGCCTGGTAATGCCATTATGGGGTCTCGTTTTCCTCCCTTCAATTTTAATTTTTAAATGCTATGTCCTTTTTACAAAGGGTTATTTCAAAAATACAAGACATAGGGGCGCCTGGGTGGCTCAGTAGGTTAGAAGTCCTACTTCGGCTTAGGTCATGATCTCACAGTTTGTGGGTTCAAACCCCACTTTGGACTCTGTGCTAATGGCTTGGAGCCTGGAGTCTGCTTTGGATTCTCTGTCTCCTTCTCTCTCTGCTCCTCCCCTGCTTGCTCTCTCTCTCCCTCTCTCAAAATAATAAATAAAAACATTTAAAAATACAAGACATAAATAAAATAGCAGTAAATATGATGAAAAGTCATGTTAGAAACATATACAACTTAGTCTGATCAGCCTGCCTTAACAAGGCATCACAGATTGGGTGGCCTAAACAATACGAATTTATTTTCTCATGGTTCTGGAGGCTACAAAGCAAAGATCAAAGTGTCAGCAAAGCTAGTTTCATCTGAGGTCTCTCCTCCTGGCTTGTAGGTAGCAATCTTCTGTGTTCCATGGTCTTTCCTCTGTACCCCTCTACCAAATATTCTCTTCCTATAAGGACACTTGTTAATGTTGGATAAGGGCCCACTTTAATGACCTCAGATTAAGTTAATTACCTCTTTAAAGGCCCTATCTCTAAATAGAATCACTGGGGGTTAGGATTTCCATATGAATATTTTGGACAGGGACTCTATTCAGCCCATAGCAGGGGATTTTAGTGAACTATACATTTAAATGGGGGGAAAAAGAAAAATGTGGCATAAACATAGCTAATAAGACCATTTTGTGAAGGAATAAAAGAAAAATGGTTTGAGAACCCTTTAAAATGCCTACGAACTTGGCCAATTAGTCAAACAGTTGAAATTAATTTCTATCTCCCATACCATAACTTCAGAGTACTTTGTTGTTTCCTGTAGTTGTATTAATTGAGTTAATTGTGTGAGGATCTGTTAGAAAATGCCTTGCACATAATAAGGACTTAGTAAGTATTAGTGCTTGATATCCTCATTGTTAGCTCACATTCATCTGTCTGCCTTTAGTGAAATAAGGTATTCATGTGACCGGCTCCACAATCATGATTTCCTGAAAGGTAGAGATTTGCTTCCTTTTCTGTCAACACACAGTGCAGCCACACAGTGCTTGACCCATAGAATGTGGTAAACCAATGTTAAACTTCACAGGAAAAATAAAAACAAGAATTTGCCATTTCTTAATCTTTTTTTTCCTTAAAAGCCTGGACTATATAAATGTTCCAATACATGCTGAATGACATACAAATAATATTTACTTAAGTAAACAATTTTTTTGAAACAACAGAAGAAAACCCATTTGCTGAGACATTTTAGAGGCTCATGAGAAAAATAAGAAGGAGCTAATTTTAAACCATAAAGAATTCCAATTTGGTAGTGTTTGTAAAATGCTTTGAAGACACAGAGTAGTGCATGTGCCTTTTTTTTTTTTTTTTTTGAACTTGGCAAAAAGGAAAAGGACATTGAATACATAGAACCAGATGGAGTGTGAAAAACATGAAGAAACAAGTGAAAACTAAATCATGAAAAATACAGTTTTTTGGAAATAATTGACATTTTTGTTGTCATCTGGAATAAACAAAGCTCCAAGTTCACAAAAAGAAGAAAATTATTTTTAAAATGTACAATTTGTAAATGTATTTTTATTTTTTGTTGTCATCTGGAATAAACAAAGCTCTGAGCCCACTAATAGAAAAATATTCTTTTTAAAAATGTACAATTGGTAAATGTATTTTTATTTTGAAGATGTTTAATTAGGAAGATATTAATAGTTTTATCATTTTACTTTCTTCCAGAAAATAAAAAGGGGGTGTCTCTGTCTTCGTGGGCTAAACAGGAAAGCTCTCCTTGACCTGCATGCCTCATCCTTGTGTGTGAGACTTTTGTATTTTGGTGTGGGCTGCAGGTACTGTAGGCACTGTGGGTGGCTTCTTCATCACAGGTTGTTTCTATTGTCTTGTGTTTTGTTTCCCTGCTTCATAGAACTCTATTACAAAACACTTACCTTTATTGGTGCAATTCACTAGTCATTTTTGTGCTGCCATTCCAACAATTCACATTCATATTGCAGTTTTTTAAGTAATTCAAAGTGTGTATTTTGGAAGAAGTCTGGCATGGTTTGAAGAGCTCTGAATTAGGACTTGGCTGGGAATAAGGTTCTGCCTGGCTAGGCATTACATATAAGACAATGGGCAAATCATTTAATTTCTCTAATCCTCTCTTTTCTTATTTGAAAGGTGAAGGAAATATTTATTCTTGCTAGCCAATGTACTTATAATGAGGATTGTATGTGACAATGTATATAAAAATGCTTCTTAAATGAAATGTGGCTTATTTCTATTTGTTTAGCAGGACTCGTAATTGGCTTTTCTCAGATTGCCAGCTCCCACACTTTAGATCCTATCAATGGCAAGAGATACCTGTTCTCTGCATATACTGCTCAGAGAAATTTTAGCAAGCAACCTTTATTCTTGATAAGTTTGGCTGCATGATAGGAGTTGGTGTATGATAAGACATAAACAAAATTCAGAGTTGAAAGAACATTCAAGAATATCTAATTACGTTTCCATTATAATTTTCAAATCAGGGGCTAAAGCCCAGAGATGATTAATAATTTCCTTAAGATCAGTGTGCTCTGATATTTAATTTAATGCTTACTATGTCTCATGCATGATGTTACTGGAAAAAAAATCACTAGGTTATGTTTACCTGGAGTACAGGGCCTTGTCTCAATTTTTTTAGATCAGGGTTCAGCAAATGAAAAATGGACTATGACCTGTTTTTGTAAATAAAGTTTTTTTGGAACATAGCCACACCTATTTCTCTAAGTATTGTCTATGGCTGCTTTCACAAAGCAGACACCATATGGCCTACAAAGCCTAAAATATTTACTGTTTGGACTTACAGAAAAAATTTGTCAAGCTCTGTTTTATGATGACATGATTACTTTTTATAAAAGTTCTTTTAGGGGCGCCTGGGTGGCTCAGTCGGTTGAGCGTCCAGCTTCAGCTCAGGTCATGATCTCACGGTCCGTGAGTTCGAGCCCCACATCGGGTTCTGTGCTGACCGCTCAGAGCCTGGAGCCTGTTTCGGATTCTGTGTCTCCCTCTCTCTCTGACCCTCCCCTGTTCATGCTCTGTCTGTCTCTGTCTCAAAAATAAATCAACATTAAAAACAATTAAAAAAAAAAAAAAGGTCTTTTAGGATACCTTGAAGAAAGTGATACTTGTTAGAAGAAACTTAAATTTTAGGAGTGTACAAAGTGAAATGTAAGAGAGAAAACTTTTCATTCATTTTGGATTCTTTTTCTCTCACCTTTGGAGCCTAGCACAACCACCTGGCACAGAGTAAGTGGTCATCAATGAATATTTGTCAAGGGAAGGAAGGAAGGAGGGAGATTAGAAGGGAGAGGCAGGAACAGGAAGGCTAGGTGACAGGCAGAAGGTCAAATTGGTTGAATTTAAGGTTAGTTCAGTCATGATGATGAGAAAAAAAAAACCTGATTTTTTCCAGACCTTCACCTTGTTCTGAAACTTGATATCCATTTCTGCCACAGTGTGAGTATTTTGAAGAAGATAATAGATTTTATCTTCAAGCACTACTTTTTCTTTCATTCTAACATTGGAGACATGCTACGCAAGAAGCAGATTTGGCGAGGGGTGTGGTTCTGGGCTACTACCTATACATAAGAAAATAAATCTCATAAATGCTAATTTGCTTTGGCAAAAGGAAAAAAGTTTGTTTCCCTCTTTTTGAGCAAGAAAATATGAACCTCATGATTTGCACGTAGAGTGGGGCTTCTGAGACAGAGAAAAAATTTCACATTAAGCAATAGATTTTCCCATAATAAACAAGAGAAAGCAATGGATACTTCTGGAATACTCTCCACCCTTATTTCCTAGAGGATTACAGACCAAGGGTTGCCTTGCCAGGCACTTAACCACACTGTTTTACTGAAAGATTGCTCTCAGGTCACTAAACACAAATTACACATGCTTCTGTCATGCTATTTTAAAAGCAGGTTATTATAAAACAGTGCTGACCTATGAATGCTCAAGAGAAATGTGTCATGAGAAAGTAACCATAGGAAGTTTACCTATTTCCTTCTTATATTCCCATTTCTTCTCGTCACTTTTGCCTGGTGAGGTAATACAATACAGAAACCTAGGGCTTATTGTTTTAAGCAGAGTTCATCTAGTTCGTTTTGGGTTCCTGGGTGGTGAATTGCTCAAAGACCTCCCATGGGTAGCAAACCTTTGCATTGTAATCTCATTACACAACAGTGAAGATCTGTGGAATGAGGGTTTTGTTTGTTTGTTTGTTTGTTTGTTTGTTTTCCCCCTCGCTGCAGTTTGTTTCTACCACATAACAATGTGATACAGAGTGAAGCTGGCACAAGTCTCTGTATGTGATATTAACTTGGAACTGCTTTTTGGTTGTCATCATTGACCATGTCACCACTTTGTCACCTGCCTCCTAGATTTTGTCAGCTCTAGCTGGGTGTCTCAGATCACTTTCATCCCTGTGGAATGTGCCTGCACCATTGGCATGAGGGCCAGTCCACTCAGACCCCCACACAAGGCTATCACCGCTGAATGGGTTGTTTTACTTGTGTTCTCCGGATTTGTGAGATTAATACAAAGCCCTCTCCTCCGATGGGGGGATGGGGAGAACTCCCAAGAATGTCAGAGGAGGAAGCACTCCTTCTAGCTATTTGCTTGTGAGATTGATTTTATGAAATAAAATATGTAGTGGCCCCTTTACCCACAGCCTTTTCTCTCTCCAGTATGGTGGCTGAGTTTTCCTCAGCCTGTTTTTTTTTTCATTCAACCAAGAAAAAAAATGTTTATTGAACCCCAGAACTCCAGTTCTCAGCATCTGTTTACACTCATAGAATGACTGAGTATGTGTGAAAAGAAAATGGCAGAAACCAAGAGGATAAATAAGGAATGGCCCCGTTCCTAAACTCTTTGGAGGATATTTGATTTCTTTTCTCCTTTATTCCCCTCTTCCCTAGTTTCCCCCTGCCTCTTCAGCTTTACTCTTTGTGCACAAAAGGTTGCCATTTGGTGTTCAAGTATTTATTTTAATACTTAAATGTTTCAGCCAGTAGTTCTTCAACAGCCCCCATATTGTCTCTGCACTTTAAATATACAATGGACACAGCGTAAACAGTAAGATTCATTTTTATCTACACTCAGAATCACAGATTTTTGTATATGCTTTAGAGTAATAACACCCCAAAATGGAAACTTTTAAAATGTTTTATTCATTTCGTTAAAACCATTGGGTCATATCACAAAACGTGACTGAACAAAGAAACATGTAGAGGCAATATGGGGAAGAAAGGACTCAGAATTCTGATGGAGGACTGATAAAGAGAATAAAAATGATAATGTTAATATCTTATACATTTCCCTTCTCTATTTAAAAGAATTTTAAATAAGCAGGCTAGCCTGTAGCATCATTCTTCCAGGCTTCTTGCTCTGTTCCTGTTTAACTGCATTAAAACCTGTCTGTAAGACCCCCACTGGGAGAGGGAAAACATTCCCTTTGCTGGCAGGTGGTCTTTTTGCAAGCACTTTCCAATTGAAAACATATGCTCCTGGGTGTGAGGAGGCTTCTGGTAAGTAGGGGGAGCTCCTGCCAGGGAATGATTGAATTATATAGGCAAATTCAAGATAAACATGTTTAGTCCTCCCTTTTTTTCCAAAATAAAGGTGAAGGTTTTTGATATCATGTAGAAACTCTCTATTGTATTCACCTTCACCTACGAGTTGAAAGTCTTCCTTAACTGTCTTACAACATAATTCAGCACTTAAATCCTCTTTCTTATCAGTCTTAAACTAGTCTTAAACTAAGCAAGACCCTCTTATTTCTCCTTCCTTTTCCAGGTCCTCGCCACAAAAGACCAGTTAGGCTACCAGCAACATGGGATTGGTGTTCTTAGGGATAAGATCCCTTCCTCAGACCTGTGATTTCTTCACAGTTAATTGAAGAGAGGAGAGTTGCCAAAAAAGAAAATCTTTCGATGAAGAACCAAAAGAAGATCCCTCCTCCATATTCAAAGTGGAAGAAAAAGTCTTTTGGCAAAGATATTTTAAAACGATAAATTTGATTCAGGAAGGGCAATATGTAAATGACCATTTGATAAGGAGTCAATGAAAAAAGTTCAAGAAAATAACCAAAATGAAATATATCTTGATAAAACATCTTTTACTCACTTCAGACATTTATTATGTCCCTTTCCCTGTCTGGCACATTTTGATAAAGGCTCAATATGGCTAAAACTCTGAAAACTTTGTGTTATATTGCCTACCATGAAGAAAGTTAGCTTGTCTCATGAAAATTAGAATGTAATTGAATTTTGTAAACCAAGAAGCCCATAACAACGTTTTCCACAATATCTCAAACTTTAAAAATAATTGAGGATTGCACAGGAGCCAGTGAATAACTCCATAATGTGGACAAATGTTCTTTACTGCAACCCGAAAGCACTTTATAAATAGTACTGTATTTCAGTGAAAAGAAGAGGTCAAACTAATGCGATTAAGCAATTGGTTATTTAGTTAAGATTTGCTGCATCAATATACAACTGCTTTCCCCATGTCAATGCTTTGTGTGAAATTTTTATTACTTGAAAGATCAGAGGTTTCTTTATTGGCTCAGAGAAAGTAGTATCACCCTTTTGTTCTTCCCTGACAAGAGATTTTCAAATATTTGCTACATAAAGTGAATCTAAACATGTTAAAGGAGCAAATCATGCTGCTTAGCTTGAAAATATTGAAAGTGAGGCATATTCCTCTCATTTTCTTTTTAGCAGAAATATCTTGTGCTGTACTTAAAAACCAACGGTTTATGCGTGAACTCATTTACAATACATGTAGTGTTATGCGTATACATTAGCATTCCTAGGAGCTGCATGAGTAACCCAGGAAAAGGGGTCAAGAAAATATTGGACTGTCCTTCAGTTATTACAGACTAGTTAGAAACTGGAAAACAAGCTAATTCTGATTTAAAAAAAAAACATAATAATACTTTGTTTTTATATAGCGCTTTTCAGACATGACTTCATTATTTAACAGAACATTCTTCTGAGCGTAGGTAGCAAGAGCTTTCTTCAGTTTATAGAGGCATAAACTTGGGCATAAAAAGATTAATTGATTTCTGCTGGGCAGAGAAAATCCATGCTGAAGGAAAAGAGAGACCAAGTTTCTACAAAGGACTCCAGGGCCTGCTGTTTCTCCAGTAAATAGAAATCACATCATCATTAACCTTTGTAACAAGTTCTTAGAGTCTTTGCCACAACACCAATATGAACCACCTTCATGGCGTTGATTAAAAAGGTTTCCGGGTTTTGTTTATTGTTTTATGCTGACACACTATACTCACATACCATACAGTCATGGATTGAGCAACGGGTTGCTTACATGGTAATAGAGAAAAGATGAAAATCAGTAATGACACTCAAATCTTAATTCAAGAGTGCACAAAGAGTACAACTAAGAATTGTCATTACGTACTCTCAGCAAGTACTACTTAAGGCCAAAAAAATCACATAATTAGAGGAATTTTAGAAGCCCATGATTTTAAGAAAATTCCAGACATAATTATAATACTCTTATTAAAAAAATCTCTCTGAAATTGCTTTACTTATGTCATTTTCCCAGTCTGAATGTGCTTTCTCCACTGTCACTAGTCTTTTTTCAGTTCATTCGTTCATTCATTCATTCAAAAAGTATTTACCCAGTGCCTGTATTTTGCCTAGGAACTTTGCTTGCTATTGCAAATCTGAAGGTAACTAAGTTAGGCATGATTCTTAGTCCCGAGGAATTTATAAACTATAATCACAAACATTAATTTCTACAATGACCAAACAGATATCATATAGAAAAAAACTAGTTTTATCAGGGAGAAAAACAGAAAGTAGAGATCATAGAAAACATGGGCCCCTGTGAAGAAGAATCTATGAATTTTTCAAGAGCAGCTCAAGTTTTTGGGTTTTGTTGTTGTTGCTTTGCTTTATGAATTGTGAAATTATTTACAATTAAAGCAAAAATTTTTGTGAAATGTATGTGTAAACTGCTGTGTTCTCTCACAGATGTTATAGGAGTTAAGAGCAGAGTTTCTGGCCTCAAATACCTATTCTACCACTTCTGAGATTTGTAATTATTTTACTTCTCTGTGCTTTACTTTTCTCCACTATGAACCAAGATGAAAGTAGTACGTACCTCATTAGGTTTTGTGAGCATCGAATGAGTTAATTTGTGTATCAAGCTTAGAGCAGAGCCTGGTCCATAGTAATCACTCATTTAATGTTTACTATTATGATAGTCTTGTGGGAAAGACATGCTGAAACAACTACAGGAAAAGTGTTGTAATTACCCTGATAGAGGAGTTACAGAGGGCTGTGGAAATGCTAAGCAAGAGTGTCTGACTTCAGTGTGTGGAGTAGGGTGTGTGTTTGGTAGGAGGCTGTAATATGGAAGTCGGGGTTATCTTCTCTGAGGAAATTATACTGGAACACAGAATTCAGCCTGTCACACTGTAGGTTCTAAAAGCAATTCAGGGGGCGCCTGGGTGGCGCAGTCGGTTAAGCGTCCGACTTCAGCCAGGTCACGATCTCGCGGTCCGTGAGTTCGAGCCCTGCGTCAGGCTCTGGGCTGATGGCTCAGAGCCTGGAGCCTGTTTCCGATTCTGTGTCTCCCTCTCTCTCTGCCCCTCCCCCGTTCATGCTCTGTCTCTGTCCCAAAAATAAATAAACGTTGAAAAAAAAATTAAATGTAAAGAGGCTTGAACTTTATGTTGGCAATAATGAGAAATCACTGAAGTACGAGGGCAACACAATCAATTCACACTTTTGTAAGTTCACCTTGGCTGAAACGTGGAGAATATGGAGGTCAATGATTGAGACATGGGTGATCAGTTAGGAGGCGTTGGTGAGAATCCAGGTGAAAACATTGGCATTAATTAGAGCGGTGTTAGTGGTGATGGAAAGGAGTAGGTGGATATAAAAAATATTTATCGGGTAAACCTGATGTTTGATCAGTTTCTGGAGCTGAGGGAAAGAATGTCTCCCAGGATTTGGGGTTTGTTTTGTTTCAGTTAGTGATGCTGGTGGCATTATTTGTGATTGGGATTAGCACAACGTAATAGATTGGGTCTGGGGGAGAAGAAGTGTCAGCTTTTGACATGATGACTTTGAGGTGCACGGGAGATAGAAACATGGGCAGTTGGATGTGC